GTGTTACCTTACCTTATAGACCTCTTAGTTAAGGCTAAACTCTCTCTAGAGCTTTTCCTAGACTTATTATCTTTATATTAGTTTATTATAATAGTAATATATAAAGTAAAGATAAGTCTTTATTATTATAAAAGGTAATATAAAATAAGTAAACTAATAATCTAGGAGCTTAGGTGCTTATTATAACCCTATAATAATAATAATAATATAGATATAGTCCTTAGTAATAAGATAAATTACTAAACTCTTTAAAGATAGTTTAAGTTACTCTTAACTAATTTTAGTTAGTAATAAGGGAAAAGGTTAAATATTATTAATATTACTATAATTAAGTTAATTAAACACCTATATTTATAATTAAATAAGTTAACTCTTAACTAGTTTTGCCTATAAGATAAGAATCTATAGACCTTTTAGTTACTAGTAATAGATAAGTTATAGTTAAAGTAATAGCTATATAACTTAATTAAAATATACTATAAATACTTTATAAACTCTACTATTTAACTTTATAAGAAATATTTAACTTATAAGATCTTATAAAGGTTTATAATAACTACTTTATATTTATATTTTTATTATTAAAAACCTAAAATATAATCTATAAAGACTACCTATATTTATAACTTTTTAAGGTTTATAAGATATAATAGCTTTAATAATAAAACTATAGCTCTTTTTATTATTACTAAAGCTAGATAACGCTAAATTTTATTCTATTAGCTTCTAGCTATCTATATCCTTACTAAACTACGTTTTATTAACTAAATAAATAATAAAGATATAACTAGTAACACTATAAATAAAGATAAATACTTTAAAAGTATACTTAAGATATTTTTTTATAAAAGTATACTTAATTTAATATATATATTTTTATATTAGGCCTAGATATAAACTAATTATTATAGATTTAATACTAAAAAAGGCCTTTTCCCTAAAGACTAAAATACTATTATATAATACCTCTATTTTATTAATATCTTAAGCCCCCTAATATAATATAATACCTATTACTTAGTAAATAAGTTACTAGACTATTAGTACTCCCTAGTTTAGCTTAAAGAAGGTAACTACTATATAGGTTATATATTTATATAAAATAATATTATATTAAAATAAAACCTAATATAAATAACTACTATAAAAATAGTTAAGATATTAGAGTCTCTTACTACTTATTAGCCCTTATAAATATATTACTATACTATATAAAAGTAGCCTACTTATAAGTTAACTTATACTTAACCCTTTACTAATATTATAACTCTTATTAGATACTAAAATAGTGTTACTATTCTTCCTAACTCTCTTATTAGTCTCTTATTATAGAATATATATTAAATTACTTACTAAACTAATATCTTTATAAATCCTAACTCTCCTACTAGTCTTATATTACTAGATATTTATTAGACTACTTACTAGGCTAATATCTTTATAAACCTAAACTCTTATATTAGTTTTATATTACTAGATACTTATTAAACTACTTACTAGGCTAGTATCTTTATAGACCTTAACTCTTATACTAGTTTTATATTACTAGATACTTATTAGGCTACTTATTAGGTTAATATCTTTATAGACCTTAATACTTATATTAGTTTTATATTACTAAATACTTATTAGACTACTTACTAAACTAGTATTTTTATAGATTCTAATACTCTTATTAGTCTTATATTACTAGATACTTATTAGACTATTTACTAGGCTAGTGTCTCTATAGACCCTAACTCTTTTATTAGTCTTATACTATAGGAGATATATTACTCTAGTAATAGATATATAAATAACTTAGGTAGTAATATAAAACCTAAACCTCTACCTAATAGATACTATATTAATATATATCTATAATATTTAGTTAGGTATATACTAGCTATTAGAGGAAGTAGCTAAAAGAAATTTACTTTATATTAACTATTTAAAGTAAGTATAATATATAATTTTCCTAAACTTATATACTAACTATTTATATAATATACCCTTTCTTACTAAGTTTAAGCTTAACTTTTTCTTACCTATTAGATATTATATATTATTTACCTATAATTAGTATTAGATTACTAATATTAAAGTAATACTATAAATTTCTTAAGTCTCTAGTAATATAAATAAAGATCTTTTTTTTATCTTTTAATAAAATATTAAAATATATTACTAATATAGGAATAATATATATACTTTTTAAATAATAGGCTAGATAATAGGTTAAATATCTTTATAAAAGTACTTATATATACTATTAGGCTTTAGGGTCTATCCTTTAGGGTATTACTTAGTATAATTTAGTAAATTATATAAGTACTCCTCCTCTCCTATATTAAGCTTAGAAATCTTAACTACTAGACTTATTAAGATAATTTAAGTAGAGTTCTAAACTCTACTATATCTCTTAAGTAGTAAAGGCATTTATATTACCTATAATTAGTAAATATATATATTTTATTTAAGCTTATTTACGAGGCATTTAAGGGGTATAATGCTTTAGGTATAGAGCTTATATACTACTTAATTATATAACTAAACATATTACCCCCTAGGTTCTATACCTAAAAGAACTAGTCTAAAAACCTTATACTATTATAATATTAACCTCTATAACTAATAATAATACCTATAATTATATAACCTAAACTTTTTCTAGTATTTAGTTATAGTTATATATTTATTAAGACATTTCCTAGTAGTTTTTATATCTTTTATAGTAAGTTACTAATAAAAATTATAAGTTACTTAGAGATTCTTACCCTTAGTTAAAGACTATTATAATATAATAACACTACTAGGCGCTATTTCTTAGCTATCTTACTAGGTTTAATATATATAATAATACCTAAAGTAATATATCTTAAAAAGTAAATAACCTTACGCCTATTAAGTAAGTGCCTTTATAAGGTAATATAAATAATAAATAAAAGAGTAATAATATTTAATAAGAAGTTATTAATAGCTTTACTAGTACTAAAATCTAATTATACTATAATAACTATTATTAGGTAAGTTTAGTTAATTTATATCTTTACTTATAACCTAAAATTCCTTATTCTCTATACTCTTAATACTAAACTAAGATAAATTTTTATTTATATTATTATTAACTATAATAAACTTTAATCCCTCTTCCTTATTAATAAGAGAATATATAAACTAACTTTTAAAGATATTATTATAAAGTTAGTCTATATATATACTTCTATAATATAATATATTTAGTTCTTCTTATCTTAGATTTATATTACTACTAGTTTAGCCTTTAAAAAGTATAGGCTAAAATAAAGTAAAATACTTTATTAAGTAAATAAGGTAAAATATAGTTATTTTTAAAAAGTAAGGATTATAAATAAATTATTTACTATACTATTACTCTATATATACTACTTATTAAATAGCTTCTATAAGGATAATAATATAATACCTAGTTTTCTAGTATATAGGACACTTAAATACCTCTTTAAAATATTCTTACTAGTTACCCCTAAGATACTTTTATTATTATTATCCTCTAAATATAATATTATTATACCTAATAATATATATTTACCTAAATTAATACCTATTAGTAAGAATATAATAATACTAGTATAATATACTTATAGCTATAACTATAAATATATTATATTAACTTTTATTACCTAGTCTTTTTATAAGGACTAGTAAAAGCCTTACTATTAGTAATATATATTACCTAAAATAAAGGAAATAGAAGAATTATTTAATAAGTAATAATAACTACTTAGGCTAGATATTATATAAAGTATACTAGGCTTATATACTTTATATAGTTTTATATATACTTATTAATCTTTAAGTAATAGAAGTTAGTAATATATATATATACCTTATAAGATCTACTAAGGAATTCCCTTATTATTATCTCTAGGTTAGGGTCTAGCTAAACCTAGAGATAGCTAGGGATCCTTCTATAGTAGAAAAGATAGGTAGGTAACTTCTAGTGCCTATAAAGGCATTTTAGTATTACCTATCCTAAGTAGAATCTCTTATAGTATTCTATAAAGTTACTATATTATAATTATATTATTAGGAAATAGCTAAGTATATAATAAAAAGGCTAAGTTCTAGAAGTTTCTTTAGCTTAGTACTAAGGCTAAGCTTTAGGTACTTTATTTTCTTAGCTAATATCTATTAGGCTTAATAATTAATTACTATTTATTTCTTTATTTATCTTTTCTTATATAATATAGATAGTAGTTATTTATTTATAAGAAGTATAGTATTATACTTTATAAGTTAATTAGCTAGTTTATTATTATTATTAAGATATTATCTAAAAACTTTAGTAAGATAAGTCTTAGTTACTTAACCTTAGATATATAAAATATAGTTTATAAGTACCTTAAATACTAGAGGGCTATTTATTTTATAATAAATAGTTTCCTTAAAAAACCTTTAATAATTTTTTTAAGATATATAGTTATTATAATATTTACCTAAAGTTACTATAATACTCTATCTAAATATATAGATTTAGAAAATATATATACTTAATAAGAAGTATTATATTAATAAACTCTAGGCTTTAAAATATAATTTTATATAGGTTTATTTCTATAATATTATTAGATTTAATATTATAATATATATAAGTAGTAGCTTTATACTTATTATTATTTATTATTAGTTTTATATATATACTAAACTAATATTATTTTATATTATTTTACCTTACTAAGGTAATAGTAGTATAAGATATACTTCTACTATAGTATTATAGTAATATAGTTTATTATAGTTTACCTATAGCCCGCCTATATAAAGTAAGGCTAAATAGGTTAAGGAATAACTAATAGGTAGCTAAATATAGTATATAATTAGATATAAAACTTTTTTATTAGTATACTATAAACTCTAGTAAACTACTAGGTAATAGCTAATATTAGCTTTATTATAAAACCTATTAATATAGCTAACTATATTTTATATTATCTTACTATAAGGTAATAAGAAGGTATAATAAAATATACTAGTATCTTAGCTATATAAGTTATTCTTATAGACTAAATCTATAGCTAATATATAAGATAACAATATATAATAAGTTTATATAGTAGGGTTAACTTCTTTATAAAAGGTATAGTGTTTTTACTATAACTCTTTATTAATCTATTAGTCTTAAGTATTTTATTTTATAACTTAAGTATTACCTTATCTACTTATAATATAAGGTTAATTTACCTTTCTATTACTTAATAATAATATTATACTAAGATAGTTAAGGAGATATACTAAGAAATTATTTATAACTAGAAATATATATATAAATATATTATAGATAAACTATTAAGTATTCTTTTATATTAAGGCTATAATAATTATAAAGTAGTAATAAGGATAGCTTATAAAGATAAAAGTATAATTTATAAGTTATATAATAATTATATTAATTCTAATATATACTTATTTTATAAAGGGAGATAGTAGTTAAAAGAGGCTATAAAGGCTATAATTTAAGTAACTTAAACTTAACTTAGGCTTTAAGTATAGTATTTATATAATAGGTACTTAGTAATTAGTACTTATTTATTTAGGTAGCCCTTATTATAAATAGGTATCTTATATTTATAAATAACTACCTTTTATTAATAATAAGTAACTAGTAGTATTAATTAGTTAGGTAAGTTTAAAATAAATAGCTATTACCTTACTAACCTAGACTCTTTAGTAACTTCTATTTTTATCTAATTCCTACTTATACTCCCTAAATAGTTATTATATATCTTAAATCTATTACCTTATAATTATTACTATATTAAAAAGACTAGATTAAATTTTTCCTTAGTTATTATTTAATAAATTTAAATTTATCTTTAGTAATATTATAAGATAGGTTTTTAAAGTAATACCTAGTATTACCTTTAAATTTCTTTACCTAGGCTATAAGAAAGAGTTCTACTATAAAAATAAAACCTATATACTAATTAAGTAAAGTAATCCTCCCTTATTACTATACTTTATCTAGAGCTTTCTCTAACTCCTTTATATATACTTTATATAATTAATACCTAATAACCTTAACTCTTACCTATAAACTAACTAATACTAAGACCTTAAGACTCTTAAGTACTTTAAAGTCTTATACCTAGAGCTAATAACTAAGATTAAATAGTAGGCTATAGAGCTATCTAATATACTTACCTAGCTAGAGTCTATTAAGCTAGTCTAGGGGGAGCTACACCTATTAAACCTCCTCCTTAATAGTAAGGATTATATAAAGCTAGTAGACTTTAATAGTTATATTAAGATTAGAGACTTAGATCCTAGACTTCCTCTATTATAGTCCTCTCTTAATTACTATCTTTATAAAGCTAAGACTAAGTAGTTTAGGTTTAACTTAATCTTCTATAATATAATATATAGCCTTAAGCTATATAAGGATAAAAGCCTAGAGACTATTAAGCTCTTCTATACTAAGATATTTTTAAAACTAATATCTAACTCTTAGTTAGATATATTAATATTATATTATTAAAAAAGTAAATTTATAACCTTAACTAATTTAGCTAAGTATTATATAATACTTAATAATATAAAGTTAGTTATAATAACTAATATAATTAATATTAAGTATATTATAAGAATAAAGATAATATATAAAAAACTATTATATACTAAATTAGTAAATTTAAATAAAGAATTACCTTAGAAAGATAATATAAATAAAAAAATTTATATTATTAATATATTAAAATATATTTATTTTATTATAGTTATTATATTTATATATATATATAGGTTATTAAGAACTTATAGATATATAAGTAGTATTAATACTATAAGGTTATTAAGTTAAATAAAAGGAAGAAAAACTATAAAAATAAAGACTTATACCTTATCCTTACTAGTATTTTACTAAGTAAAAGTAAAGGTAACCTAATAAGTTAGGTATAGGCGCTAGGGTATTATAAACACTTATTATTAGCTAAGCCTATTTCTCCTTACCTTCTCTATAACTACTTAATAAATATAAGCTAGGCACTAATAAATAGATATGCCTAATATAATATATATATACTATTATGTCTTCTAAAGAGTCTAATATTCCCTAACTAGTACTATAGTAGTTTAGGATATTATTTAGTAACTACTATATTACTAATACTTATATTATTATATATAACTATTAGTATAGGACATTAATAAGTAAATATATTTAAGTTAAATAGAAATTACTAAAACTTATATAATAAGCTATTATTAATAGCTTTACCCTAATTAAATATTTCTTTTAGCTTTTTAGTTAATATTAATATACTTCTATTAGCTTTACTCTTATTAATAAGTTTATCTTTATTAATAACTTTATCTTAATTAAATATTACTTTAAGCTTTTTAGTTAATATTATACCTTTATTAGCTTTATATTTACTAATAAGTTTACTATTATTTTATAGATATACTATAACTACTAGAGTATCTTCTATAGGTATATATAGCTATAGTAGAAATTCT